ATATATATATATATATATATATATATATATATATATATATATAGGAATATTGTAATGATACCAAATTGAGACATGGAGATAACAAATATTTTAAGTTTTTTTCTTTGATTGCTTCTCCTCTTCATGGTGCAATTTAATAATTCAATTCCACTAATTGTCTCTCTTTTATTTGTGACTACATTTTGCATGATCTGAGTGACGCTGGACTGCTCAGGAACTGTTGGCTGATGCATATTTGTGTCTCAGACTCAAAGCGGTGACTGCCTCATTGTATTATATCATTGTTCTATTATACAGGCTAACAAACAGGAGCAAAAAAACAACAACGCTAAAAAGATAAAAATCAACAAATACAGGAAGTTGTAGATATGTGTTAATAGTAATACTAGGCTAGAGGTACAGACACAATAAGTTGAAATATGAGTTGCCAGTTTATTAGGAACACATATTTGTAGCTGAAACGACTACAGTCCTACTCCATGAAGGCTCCACACCATAAAGTAGAATCAACACCTCTCTAAACCAGATTCAACAGACTCTGAACATTATAAACTGGACTGATGTGTTAGACTGCATTGATCTGAGGTAGGTGTACTTAATAAACTGGAGTGTATTTGCCATCATGTTTTCTTACCAACAGGGTGAGAAAGCCACAAGAGTATTGTTCTTTTTAGAAAATTGCAGTTCTGGTGCATTTCTTTTTTTTTAATGAGACAGAATGATTGCAGTTAATGAATTATCCCATATTCCCTGTGATTAAACACTTCACTATACACACTTTTCCTTCTCAAATAAAGCACCTTAAAGTACACCCTTTATTTACATGAACACATGGGTGCAATACCTGCCTGCTGGCAAGATCTTTTTTAAGGTCAGCTTGAGAAGCACTTTTTTTTCACACACATGGCTTGCATAGTATAGCCTATAGTCTGGCTACGTTATTGTAATAAATGCAAACAGACCCAGACTAACGTGGTAAATGACCACTGAGCTTCACTCAGTGCGGTGTGCACATGTTTCTGAATCAGTTACAGCCGACTTACATCATTCACTCCATCTGACAAGACGAGCTATAGCTGGCTGCTCGGAGAGAAAGGAGGGCAGAGAGAGAGAGAGAGACAGAGGTTGCCTAGCAACTGCATCAAAGGGTTTGCTTGGGGAAGGACACGTGGTCCACCGATGGAGAGAAGAAGAGAAGGTCCCACTAGTCCAAACAGTGACTCATAATTAAGTGTGGATTGACAGGAGTGTTATTCTGCTGTCAGCACAAAAGGGGAGGATTCCTTCGGTCGACTGGCTGAACATTTGTAGTGATGCCCCCTGTGCATTCTGGGATACGCTCCACACTAGTGAAAAAACATGGTTTCATGGAAAGGATCCCGTCAAATGTACAGCAGACTCAAGTTGACCAAAAGCAACAATCTGTTATTGCTTCATTAAAGGAATAGTTCAACATTTTTTTGGAGGAAAAAAATGAACTTTCTTTCTAAGAGTGAGAATCTGTCAGAATGTTTAGCTTAACGTGTCATAAGCGAGCGGGGGGGGGATCAGTCCCTCACACACACACACACGCACAAACAATTATTTTTTTTAAGTATTTAAAGTATTTGTAAGGAAGTGAACAGACAAGCTGGCTGCAGCTCAAACGTCTTTCTGTGTTCAAAGTCACCATCAGTACCTGGATTTCAAGCTTCTCTCTTTCCACTCCCTAAGGTCTCCATTGTTTCTCTTTCTTTGTCTCTCTCTCTCTCTCTCTCTCTCTCTGTCTGTCTGTCTCTCTCTCTCTCTCTCTTTCTCTTTCTCTTTCTCTGTCTCTCTCTGAAACTGGCATGGTTGTTCAGTACAGAGGTACTATCTAATGAGCTCTTTGAATTCTTTGAAATATGTTTTTAGCTTTTGTTTGTCCATTATGTTTGGGATAAATAAAGACTTGCATGTGCTGTATAAAAGATTTACAACCAGTGTCATATTCATGTTGCCCTCCTATAAATTGAGCCAACTTCTCTCAGCCCTGTGGTTTCCTTTTCCTCACATGTTCCCTCATAACTGATTCTTTACAGCTTTCCTCAAACTTGTGAAGTTTTCCTTCAGGGTCGAGAAAGAAATCGCTCAGAAAGGAGGAAGGACATGTTTTGTTTTTTTTCAGTATTCAAAACAACACATTCCTGTCAAAATGGCCTTGAAATTAAATGCAGTCAGTTATGAAGCAAGCAACGCCAAACGTGCAACATATTCATTTTAGTCTACAGAAGGCCAGATGTGCAGACCAGATGTGCAGAAGTTCTCCATCTGTTCAAACACTGTGTTTTAAAGTTGCATGTGAAGATGACAGAATGTGCCAGTAAATACAGAGTGACCTATATGCTCTCTGGATGATAATAATGCAAAAATGAATACTTGAGATGTCATCCTCGATTCAGGGAAGCACATTTGGGACGATATCTGAACACAAATACAGTGCAGGAATACACACAGTTCACTCAGAGTGTAACATTGACAATATTTGACCTAAATTAAGGCTTGTTTACCTCAAACCTGCTCTCCTAATTCCAGTCTAAACGCACCCTGAAGAGCAGAAGGAGGTAATTGAACCACCTCTTGAGACGCGTGAGAAATTACTTCAGGTGACGGGAGACCAGCGTGCAGTGTGTTTGATGTCTGCATGTGAGGGTGTGACCTGAACAAAATAAGCTCTGTATGGAAACATGTAGGCGGGTCGCTGGGTTGTCACTCATTACGCCCCAAAGCTTGCCCCCCCTCCTTTTCTTTTGATCACCAGGCTCATTTGCTCGCCCACTCCCGCCGGCCTTGATGCTGCCGGGCCAGACAGAGTTTCATCTGTGATTTCACGTACAGGTACTCACACACATCTACACTCTGCAACACACCAGCAGCTCTGTTGAGTCCAGTCTATTCAATATCCCTGCTGTCAGCATCGGTGGGACGCAGACAAATAAATATGTGGGCAGGACTTTCACTCCCAAAGAAGACAAACCTGCCTTTGAAAAATATTAACTAAAATACACAATGCGTGCCACTGAAATAACTTATTGTACATTCAAGCAGAGACAGGCGCTCAGTTGCAGTGTATTTTCCTTCCTGTAACCTGTGTTTCAGTGTTTAAAACATGCTTTATACTAAAGTCTGAATTCAGTTAAAGTCTCTTTATTTTAAACATCACCTCTATCATTACTGTCTATGGCGTATTCTCGAGAAATAAACTTTGCTTTTTGAAGTTTTCAATAGTAATCTAACAAACGGCATCACACCACTCACTGTAAGGGAGAAGGATGGATCGGACTGGCTGACGCCTGGTCTCTAATAAAAGGCTTTTGTTGGCTTCATATAACAGTAACCCTGGAAAACAGTGAGCTGAGGACAGACAGAGGAAAGAAGCCATTCCTTCAGTGATATGAAGTATCATTGAATGAATGAAGCCGGTGTTCTTTCGGTGGATTTGGTCACTTATTCCCTGGTTAATGATTGGCTGCCTTCTGTAGACACTCAGAGAACACGTTTTCTTTGACATTTTCTTTGGAAGGATGTACCTTTTACCTGACCTTTATGTTTTTGACGTTCTTCAAAACCAAAGTATCTCCATATAAATGGTGCAGGTTTCTGATGATGGGGGAGGCCAGCAGCTCCACCACGGAGAGATTTCACCGACACAAAGAAAACCAAGAGGGGCAGGATACATCCTGGAATCCACATTACCTAAACTGGTTCTATTGTCCCCAGAGACTGGGAGAGAGTGAGGTTTAGCAGAGCTATGCACCCCACCCCCACCCCCTGTGACCCACTTTGAAATGCAAGACTCAACGACTGCCTTGAGATGTGTGTGTGTGATCGCAGTCTCTCACAACAGCAGTGAAAATGAATAAAAAATGAAAATGAATTAATACATCATTGTTTTAAACATTGCGCAAAAGTAGTTGTTTTTTTATTTGGCAAGTATCATAGGTTATTATTTGCTTTGACACACTGAATGATTTGTAACATTTTGGGACCAATGCGTCCGCATGTTGGGTCTCAATATCACAACAACAAAAAACAGCTCAACGAGGTTCTGCACAATGTGATTGGTTAGTGCGTTTATTGTTGGTGCAAAAGCTCAGAAAAAAAATACTGACTTGCAAATCACCTCGTGACGGAGGGCGGAGTC